TATGTACGATAAGGACCGGAAGGTCAAGATGATATGGACCGGAAGGTCAAGAGGTTACGGACCGGAAGGTCGATACGGGTAGGACCGGAAGGTCTACCGGGATTCGGGACGGAAGTCCCCTGAGACACATGGATCGGAGGATCCTACAGAGTTATGGCCTGGAAAGGCGTATGTGTGGTATGTGGTATTTTGGGGAACTCACTAAGCATTTATGCTTACTGTTGTTATGTTATGTGTTTCAGGTACTAGCGAGGATCGCGGGAAGGCGCCGGCATGATCCGTACACACTTATGGAGTTTATGTTATTGAGATTTTGGGACATGTTTTGTTATGACACAATGGATACATTATGATTTGTGATTATCATGTGATTGAAAGTATGATTTAAAAATGAAAAATTGTTTTGAAAATTACGTCGTTACATAGTGTGTGAGCACTAATTGAGTTTTTTAAAAGATTACTAGGAGAATGGGTTTGAGAAGGCTTTGTATTGTGTGAAAGCTATTGCTTCTGATTTGGGAATTGATCCAGTTTTTGTTGATAAAATGTTATTCAAGTTATTGAATAACAATGGAATACACACATTAACTTTCACCTTTAGAGTTATTCAAGATTCAATATTTTGTGTACATAATTGATCAAGTTATTGGTTCATTGGAATGAAGATTTGAAAAATACAAACAATATGAAGACATTTTTGGTTTCTTTTTCACAACAGAAAAGTTGAAGACACCGAATACTAGTGAGTTAAGGGCAAGTTGCAAAAAATCTTGAAAATAGGTTGCTAAATGGCCATATCTCAGACATCGATGTTGATGATTTGTTCAACGAATTGAGTTTTTGCAAAAACATTTACCATTTGAACATAATACAACTAACAAAGTACTAAAGTTCTTAAAAATGATAAACACTTATCCAATTTCTTGTCTAGTATACATAATATTGTTGATTGTTCCTATTGCAATTGCATCAGCGGAAATAAGCTTTCTAAAACTAAAGATTAAATCGTATTTACACTTGACCATGCATTAAGAAAGATTAAATGTTTTTGACTTTGATTTTGATTGAGAACGAGTTTCTTGAGAATATTGATTATCAAAAGTGTAATGGATGAATTTGCTTCTAAAAATGCTAGAAGGTCAATGTTTAGAAAATAGTAATGCACTGACTTTTTTTGAAAAATTGCTAGTAACAGTTCTAGTTTATTATTAATGATTGAGGACATGATATTGTGGTAGTGAATTTGTAACACCCGTTTTTCCATAATGGATCAGTTGGTGACCTAAAGGAGACAAACTTATGGTTTTTGAAGAAAACCACATGTCACGGCTTGATGAGTTGATGACCATGACGTGACATGAAAATTTAGTGAAGAACGCGTCTAGCTTGTTTGCCACGGCATGGCAAGGTGTTAGCTAGGGCGTGACATTTGTTGTAGCCGAAGCCCATGATCTTTAGAGTTTCTCCCATATTTAAGGACCTTAACTTTAGGGTTAGGCCATTCTTTAAGCTTCCACCATATTATATTGAAACCCTAGCCCTTTTTGAGTGTTCTTGAGGTGTTCTTGGCCATTTTAAGGCTCATTTATCATGTTTTGGTGTGGATCTTGAAGATCAAGTTTCTTGCAAAGTGTTTTAGTGAAGAGCTCAAGTGTAGATCGAGCAAAATGACTTCAGCCTTTGCTTCTAGTTTGTTAGATCCATCTCATGGTCCATTTGGTCCCTTTTTGATGGTGTGCTTGGAGTTGAGATGACTCCAACCCCTTCTAAGCTCTAAGGAATGTCTTTTGGACTTTTTTGTTGGAAAGTTTGTAGCTTGATCTTTTCCTTGGAACCATGCATGTTTTATGAAGGATTTATGTCATTTTGGACTTAGGTTGTATATCTTTCTTTGGTGAGAGTTCCTAATGGATAAAGTTGGAAATTTTATCCATTAAGTCATTGAAAAGGGTTAGATCTGAAGTTTTGAGCCTTGATCTGTAAGGATTAAGCTTTTAATGAAGAATTAAGTGTTGGGTTTTGAGCACTATAACACTTCCTAAGTGCACATGCAACCCTAAATGCTTTGGATCTATGTTTTCTCTAATTATACATGCATTCACAATTTTCCCAAAGCATTCTCCTAACTAGCATACAAATTGTCAAATGAACAATACAACTAGTTAGATGACATACCTTTTATAAGGACTTGTAGTTCTTGACCTTTGAAAGCTTGAGCACCTCAAGTGTGATGCCTCTAATGGTTCACAAACACCAATATCCAAGAGGATGAATTAAGAGAATAATCTATTTATCTCAAAGAGAAGAGGCAACCGATTTTGTTCAATGTCGGGTTCTATTTATAATGTTGCTCATGCTAGGGTTACACTTGGTAAACCTTAATAACCCATGACTTTCCACATTCTCATGCTCCATGGTTTTAACCTCCATGGACTATCCATGGATTAGTTTAGCCCATAATCATGGATCATTAGCCCACACTACAAATATGATTGATTTACATAATCAATACCCATATATTTAATTAGTCTCTTTTGACCACAAAATTAATAAATTAATTCTTGATCAATACTAATTAAATAATTCCATATTAATATATTATACTCGTAATATATTAATAAACCACAAATAACCTTATTCTCAAAATCCATCCTATCAAATTGCACTGGTGAAGGCAACGCAAAAGGACCATGCTACAATCAGGTCAAATACATACCAGTTATAGTTATGGGCTTAGACACCAAATCCAACATTAAGGAATCTGCTAGCGACCACGGCATGACCACAGAACGACCACGACGTGGCATGACCAAGAAACGAACACGACATGGTGGAATCCAGCTTTACGATGGTTTTGTCCGGACATGCCCACGACGTGGCCAAGGAGGGTCCACGACGTGGTAATGTCCTGCATGTCATCTATCTTGTCCTGTCATGAACACGATGTGACTAAAAGGTCTCTACGTCGTGGTGGTTGTTGACTTGGTTGACGGTTGACTTTTGTTGAACGTTGACCGTTGGCTTTTGACCAGTTTGACATGAGGTCAAGCTTGGAGTATTTGGATTGTTGATTGAGGATTTGTCTCTTTTGGTGTTAGCCGGTTCATGGGATTGAGCAGTGTAATGACAAAGTTTATTATTGTGCTTTTCTGGTTCTTCAGTTCAGGTGAGTTTCTCACTATGTCACGTATCCTATTGTATATCCTTTGCTTGGTGGTATAACGGTACTGTTAGGATACGAGTATGCTAGTTGACTAGGAGGACTCCTTGTTATGCTTGAGCAGTATAGGACACTTGGTGTCACGACATGCTAGACTGATAGAGTCTTGTATGAGGTTTATATGTTGTTGCTAGGTGTCATGATTGTTTAGGGTAATGATAGTATTAACTATTTGTTGAATGTTTACCCTAAGGGATTGTATGCATTCAAGTTGGATAGCTTGAAAACTCTTGGTCTAATGCCTGACTACATGGTTCTTGTTTGATTTATTGCTTTTGGGTGGATCATTTGTTTGAATGTCTATCTGATTCTGACTATGTGTGGCTTTGGCATTGTATGGAAGACCAAGGTTTGGCCCCTGACAATAGTACGGAAGACCATGATGTAGCTCCCGACAATGGAGTCTGGGTTGGGTCTGTTTACTCCTTGGACATGGCCCGTTATGTATGGTTGGGCGAGACCCGTTATGTATGGTTGGGCAATGCCCGTTATGTATGGTTGGGCGAGGCCTGTTATGTATGTTTGGGCTGGGCCCGTTACGTATACACACACACACACACACACATATATATATATATATATATATATATATATATATATATATATATATATGTGTGTGTGTGTGTGTGTGTATGTATGTATATATATATATATATATATATATATATATATATGGATAGGAGTTTTGTTTGTTCAGCGCTAGAGTCGAGGATTGTATGTGGATGCATTGTATATATGGTGGAATATGTGGTATACTGGGAAACTCACTAAGTTTTATGTTTGCAGTTGTGGATTAAACATTTTGCAGGTCGTTCGCGGGGAGAGGTCAGTGGGACTGTACACACGCATTGAAGATATTCATTTCTGCGATTTTGTAAACTTGATAATGTATGGTTTTCAATCAATCAAATGGTATTCAATGGTTTTTGAACCAACGGTTTAATTGGTTAATCTGTTTTATGAACAAAAATGTCTGTGAAAATTTTACGAGATGTTTGTTAGAAACTTTAAGTTTTGATTTTAACAGTAGAAAATTTAATTAATAGTATTTTACAAGAAATTTTTTGTAGGGTTTTATTTTGATTTTCGCACAAGATCTCAGAAATATCAGCCGGGCGCTCTCTCTTTGTCCAAGTTTACCCGAGTAGGTAAACAATCTATTGCATGTGTCAATTTCATATACAAACATTCTTCGACTTTACAAGCACTTTTATTTTTAGCAATCAATTGCATGTGTCAATTAAGTAACCAAATTTACAAATTCGAATCATTGTCAACTTTGAAAATAAAAAATCCAATAAATAACAAAATAGCTCTATTGGACGTAGGCCCATGGTAGAAGATCATCTACAATCACTAAAAAAAATGAGATATTATTTATCTTTCTTGTCTAATATTTTCATCATGTCAACTTCGTTTTTCTTACTAAATGAGTATCAACAAAAAGGTAATCCCAATTAGTAACCCATTATCACATTTTAATCTTTTAAAGCTATGAAGACTAATACGCAGGCATGAAATTGTCAAAATGGATCTGATTTTAGAATAAATTTGATTTTTTGTTATTATTGTACTGATAAGTGAGAACACACAAAAGCACATGGCTTGAACCCAGCTCAAACCACGGGCCCACAACACTCCCGTGACTTCAACAGTCCTTTTGTTATTCCCTCACGGGTCTTCCTAAGTTGGGCCCTGCTTCAGGCCCCTTAAATAATGCTCCATTCCACAATTCATTATAAACTCGTGACCACATAAAGTGATCGGAAAACTTGATAAAATGGTGGTGGTGATGACGCCAAGGGCTCCGGTGGTGGTGATTTTGGTGTTGATGGTTATGATCGGTGGTTTACAAGCGGCGGAAATATGCAATATGACTGAGGATGGTTTGATGGCATGCAAACCGTCAGTGACAACCGAGAAACCAGTGTACCCGAGCCCAGAGTGTTGTAAGGCGGTATCGGGAGCGGACATGAAGTGTTTATGTTCGTATAAGGAGTCTCTGATATTGCCTTCTCTAGGCATTGATCCCGGACTTGCATTGGGTTTACCAGTTAAGTGCAACCTCCCTGCTCCACCATGTTAGTTGGCGGATCATGGCATTTGTGATCTTTTCGTTTCGATGATAGATGGTGGAATAATGATGTAATAGTATTTCCTTTATGTACGAAACTCTCTTATTACTTATTATAGTGTAATTGTTATTATATTATGTGATCTTTGTGTCAAATCCCACATATGAACATTTTTTCTCCAAATATTCCGACTCAGTTGACAACAATACATAACATGATCGACTGTCTCCATTACTCCTTGACAAACCATACACGACAACGAATCTTAGGTCAACACCTGGAATATATAGATTATGTCCGTAAGAAGACGATCAATAACAACCCTCCACATAAAAGATGTTAACTTTATCAAAAAGAAAGTTTGGATAAGGGCACTAATCCTCTATTTCGACGTTTTGTACTTTTATGTGAAAGCACATTTACTTCTCACTGTTTTGTTGTTTTTCTCTTTTTTCATAGCAACCTATTTGATGGATTATAACTCATCCATTTTATTTTTCTGTTATTATATAATGATCTATATGTATTAAAACAATACACTTCAAAATTTATATTTCTTAAGTTTATATTATTTACATTTTACAATGTATTACTTAATATATATTGTTTTTTAAAGAATTGGAAGCAGACATAGAAAAATTAATTACCAATTCAAAAACTTTTTTACAATTTTTATACAAATCAAACATTTGTATAATTTCTTTTACATAGATATAATAAAACAAGAAGTAAAAACTTAGCGATTGATTTTCTATCTTGAAAATGTGAATCATATACAGCTGATCTATTTTTTTTCAAGAAAACATTAAAAATCATAAAAAAATATATTTGGATGATTATATTTAGTTTTTTTTGTTGACATCTATGATATATTTGTAATGAAATAAAAATTTTACAAAATTTTTTAAACAAATATAAAATCATATACTTTGGCAACAACAACGATCCTATGAATCCCACTAAAATGATAAGGGCATGTAAGATGTTATCAATCATGTCTCACATATATTATAGAATAGTTGCTTCTTGTTGGTGATTTTAGTGTCACCATGTCATTTTAAGTAACTGGAACAACATGTGAGCTAAGGAGCTTCATAATTTGTACTTTATTATTTGTACGGGGTTGTGCGGAGTGCACGTATGTATAAGATCGAATTAGAAGCCGGTTCGACGACTAGTCGGGGGTCTGGGGCAGCGCTCCTTTGGCGGGGTCTAGGGGCAGCGCCCCTAGCGGGGTCCAAGGGGCAGAGCCCCTCACCGAATTTTACATATATGAACATAATGGAAAATTCAATTTCTTGAGGGTGATTATGGTAAAACTAACGAAACTCGTTACTTTTTGGTAACCCTAAATCCTCATTAAATCTGGATTAACATTACTTGCTTCCAAAGCAACTAATGACGGCCCAACCCTAATGAAACCCTAATCGTGTTTAATATATAAACAACTCTTCCTCTACAGAAGAGGGTGACGATCTTAAGCTCTCGTTTTCATCAGACTTTCACAGAATCCTCTAGCATATTGGCTTACGTCTTCTGTGCCTAGAAACGTAAGTGTCCACTTGGATTATCCTAGGCTGAATTTTTTGTAACCCATGCATAGGGTAGAAATATCAGTTCGGAAAGTGATATCACGATCCAAGTTGGTATCCATATCTCCACCACAAACCCTAAATTTCCCAACACTTCTTATGCTGCAGGAAGTGGGAAGAAGAAGGACTCGACAAAGGTGAGATGGAGGGTGACATGAAGCTCGACAAGGAGGGGAACTCCGTCCCCTCACCTTGGCATGTCAAGGTTGTCTGTGAAATTCGACATAACCTTAGAGAGTCTCTCTCCTCTTTGCAAGCTTTAACTGATATGGATGGGGGTTTGGGAGGAGGTGACGCTCGATAATGTCAACACCGCTCCTTGTAGCTTTATAGATAACCTCCATTTGATATAGTGTTTGATACACCGAGATGACCTTCTGTAAATGAGCACACACATGCGAAAAGACATATGTAAGGGGTAGATAAGGAGATGCAAACAAAGTAATATGATCCAAAAAATATGACACCATTAAAATAAGAGAACAAACATAAATACCATAGTAGTCATATAATAATAATAATAATAATAATAATAATAATAATGACATGCACACACAACATCGGCACATAAATTCGAAGGAACTAAGGCTACTCCTGAACCCTGACACTAGAACTCAATAAACCTCTATCTAAGGTCATGACACATATAACTAGCTCCTTCATGTTTAATCTTCCACTATCTTCACATTTCCTTCTCGGATGTTATTTCCTTCCCATACCTCAATCATCATCAAGTCAACTATAACACCCATTGCTAGGACCTAGTTAGAATCATACTTATGAAATAATATTTGGATTTTTTTTTCCAAATTCAGAGTTTACATTTTCGGAAAAATACTTTGGTCCCAAGATAGTAAACTTAATCAAGTTTGAAAATTAGCGAGTTGTTAACAATAAAATATCACAACATGATTCGAGCTCACCACACATTTTATGACATTCTTAAAGTCCAAGCTAATCCTTAACTCAAGCTAGGATCTTCAATCTAAACACACATCAAAGTAAGTTAGACAAAGGATTTGCCTAGTGAGTTACCCGATATTGGTTCATTTAAAGTGAGAGGATGTCAACCCAACTTATTGGAACCAAGCCTCCAAAAATAGTATAAAACACAACAACATGCGGCATTTAAAACTCAAATCAAATCAGGGGGTTTATATGCCCAAAAGGTTTAGTTCAACAATATTATATCCAAAAGGACAAAAAGTCCAAAAATTCACATAAAGGGGTAAGCGAAAATCACAACAATAAGCAAGATGCAATGCATGCAACTTCTCCCAACCCTTAGTCAATCTCTTAAGTACACCAAAATTGTTGAATATGTATAGTTCATGACAGATGACACTGTCCACCTTTGCACCAGTATCCAATAGCAAGGTTCGATGATCGAATATGAAGAGCTCATGACAGACGACATTATCAGCTTTTACACTTATATCCACAAACAAGAACTAGGGGCCATCATCCTAGGCCACACAAGGGGTAGCTAGAATCTACTTGTGCATGTGAGGATTTCCTAGAAATCTACTTGTAACAAACAAATAATGAGCAAGGTCAATTTTGGTACTTGGGATCTTACCGTCATAACGTATTGTAGCATGATATACACAAGTAAGATGCTTAAATCATTTTAAAAAAATATAAGCTTTTTTCTTTTTTAATCAAACCATTTTCCCAAAATTACATTTCATGAATGCTCAAATACCTATTGTTACAAGATTATTTTCCCATAAAATGTTGTATAGGCTTTGCATTCCATTAAATATAAAATCCAAGAATAATGGGCTGATATCCATTTGGTTATAATAGTGTGGGTGAGACCCGTGGGCAAGGCCTGATTTGGTTGGGTTAACTTGGTAAGTAGACCATTCATACATTCAAAGATATGCTCAGGGTATGAGGTGTTAGTCGTAAGTCTCCGGACCAGTGTTGGAGCGATGGAAAGATTATTGTGACCTGAAATCTTAAGTATTCTAGCGGATTAAGAGATATCATGGTACATCGTGAAGCAGTTTATGCGTGAATCATGAGGGTGGGACCCGGTACTAACTAGCTTAGTTGAGGTTTCGGATCACGTTTAGATTAGGGAAACTCTGTGACCAACAGATTGGATCCATGAGGTAAATTGGCTAGGATAAACTTTATTAGTTAGACTTTGGGGTGGAGTCTCAGGGTGCAACCAAGCGTGAGATTGTCAGTCCCGGCAGACGGTTGGGGATTCTGCATCCCAGTTTAGTAGAAGGTCATCATGGAATCAAAAGATCTCGGATGGATCGAATATGTGAATCTTTGGTTATCAGGATGTGAGTTATGTATTGGTTTGTCACCTATGAGAGAGACTCGTGCTGGGAGTCGCCTTTGTTTTCAAATGAAAGGTTTCAGCAGCAATAAAGAGTCAGGGATTCTGTTTTTCCGGTTATCTGCAAGATCATCCACGGACAAAAGGGTTTTGTTCAGTATAAATTATGAATTAGAGTCTTTATGGATGCGAGATGAGATGATTTTGTCTGTTGGGAAGTCGGACACTGTTAGGGTTTTCAGTTTTCAGGAAGAGCAGTTGGGGTTTCCTTCATCGGTTGAGGACAAAATGATAAGGTTCACTATTCGTCAGGATAATTGATTTATGCTAAGAATGGGATTTGGTAGCAGTTTTGGAAGAGGGTCGACTAGTGTGACAGTGGAAGTAGTGAGGAATGATTTTGAGGACAAAATCGAATTTAAGTGGGGGAGAGTTGTAACACCCTGTTTTGGGTCGTTTTAATTCGGGTTGTGGACCAAAAGTCAATCATTTAAAGGATTTGGGTCTTAAGGAAGTAAAGTTTAGACCTTATTGAAGGTTGCTAATGTTGGTTGTGGGGTATAATCCCTTGATTTGTGTACTGGACTGAGGGTAGAAAGGGAGAAGTTATGTATCGTGATTCTTGCATGGATTATGGATTTAGTTTGGTATGTGATAAGCCAAAAGTAACTACATAGGATTGTGGGGCTCTTCAATAACTTTTTCGTGCATATAAAGAACTCCGAAAACAGAGTTGAAACGAAGAAGTTATGGTTGTTTGAAGTTGAGTTGGAAAATGGGAGCCTTGCACTATGCACGGTGTACTCTAAGTACGCAGGGCGTAGTGGGGCGCGTTTTTAGTAAGCTACGCAAGGTGTAGCTTATGTTACGTTGAGCATAACTGCATAGAGTAAAAACCCTAATTCTAGGGTTTTGAGCCCTATTTAAGGACTCTTACCCGTTGGGGTCCTTCTTATCATTAGCCTCCATCCTATTGAGCCTACAACTCGAAACCCTAGCCATCTTGTGAGGATTCTGAAGCATTTGAGTGTTCCTTGTGTGTTTTGAGAAAAAAAAGAGATCATTAAAGGTGTGTTTGGGGAGTCCAAATCTTGTAGATTCAGACTCTACTCTTCTTAAA